AAAGAAGAAACATTCTTTTCTCTACCTTTGCAACCAATACATCACATTGGCGACGAGAGCAAAAAAAATAAGTAAAAAGAGCTCAGCACGTGTATTTTTTCACATATTAATTTTTTCATTTTGTGAAATTTAATTAAAATCAGATATTTTCTGAATTGCTGCTGCAAAATTTAATTGTAAACAGATATTTTCTGTTGCTACAAACATTCATTGAAAACATATTTTGTGCACAATGAGTAAGGACGACAAAAGTCTGGCCATGGCAAGTGTAATTCAAACAAATGTTCCTGAGTTTGATCCGGCGGTGGACAAATTTTACATTTTTAAAGAACGTTTGGATATACATTTTAGCGACATTGGGTGTGATGATGTCGGCAAAAAGAAAGCAATTCTACTCAAGGCAATCGGCTCTACACCATACGAATTATTAAGAGCCGATAGCGCCAGTAAAGAAGACATATGAAGAAATTTGCAAAATTTTGGAATCATTACACACCGCATACCATCGTATATTATGAACGTAAAAAATTCCACGATGCAAAGCGAGAGGAAAATGAATCAGTATCAAATTGGTATGCCCGCATTAAACATTTGGCACTACAATGCAAGTATGGTCCAAATTTGAATGACATGGTGAAGGACAAATTTATTACGCAATTGCCGGAGAAAATTTTCAACAAAATTTGTGAGGAAGATGAGACATTGCAGCTTGCATCAGCATTGTCAAAGGCATTGATTGCGGAGACCAGAATGGCATCAAGACACGAGCACATCGACGCAAACGTTAATTTTGTGGGGCACAATGGGAAGGCCCGTAAACCAGGCAACAACTCCAAAGAGAAGCAACCGCATGGCAGGAAGACTGCATGTACGAGGTGTGGGTGGAAAACGCATGACGCAGCCAACTGTAAATATAAAGATTCAATTTGCCACACGTGTTCTAAGAAGGGACACCTAAGTTCAGCTTGTCGTATGAAGGGGAAAAATAAGAAAAACTTTAATTTCATAAGTTCTAATAAACATTGCCAAGATTTAAATTCAATGTATGAAGATAACTCTTTTGATTTTTCGTTATACAGCTTATCCAACAATGAGTGGTCGGACACGTACAGGGTACAGGTCGAAATTGAAGGTTTCAAATTGACAATCGCATGTGATACGGGAGCACCGTGCACTTTTGTTTCAAAGGCATTCTACCAAAAACATTTGTCGAACTGTTTGATCGAAAATTGTGACGTTTCATACATGGCTTATGGAGGTAAGAACGTAAAAGTAATTGGTGAGTGTGAAGCAAATATTAAGTTTCGGGGAATTAGTCGATCTATATTAGTGGTTGTGACCAATGAAGAAGCACCGCCTTTGTTAGGTAGAAATTTTCTACGTGCGTTCGGATTTCAGTTAACTCAAGTTGACCAAGTGAATCAAATTAATTCAAAAAAATTAATTAATAATGAGACTTGTTCAACGGTTGTTAGAAATATTAAACAAGAGTTTGCGAGTCTGTTTGATGGACAGTTGGGTAGGTACAATGTTTCAGAAATTTCTTTAGCAATTGATTCCGAGGCCAAACCAGTTTTTTGCAAGCCTCGACCTATTCCTTTAGCCTGGAAGTCCAAAATTGAAAAAAATTTGCGCATGCTAGAAGAAAAAGGTGTTCTTGAACAAGTTGAAAGTTCAAAATGGGGCACTCCATTAGTTCCTGGCCCTAAACCAGATGGTGAATTGCGCACATGTGGTGACTACAAAGTCACAATTAATAAATTTCTAGTTGATGTAAAATACCCCTTACCATTGATTGAAGAGATCTTTGCATCGCTTCAAGGGGGCGAATTATTTAGTAAATTAGACATGAGTTCTGCATATAACCAATTGTGTTTAGATGAACCATCACAGCTGCTATGTACTTGGTCTACACATATTGGTACTTTTAAAATGAAAAGATTGCCATTTGGTGTTAAAACCGCACCAGCCATTTTCCAGATGACCATGGAAAATGTACTAAGAGGTGTTAATGGTATTTGTGTTTATCAGGATGACGTAACCGTCACAGGTAAAGATTTCAAGGACCATCTTAAAAATTTAAAATCAGTTCTAAAAAGATTAAATAACGCTGGGTTTAAATTAAATGACCTCTGATCAGGTTATGACTCATTTTAATCCAAAATTGCCGATCATTCTCACGACGGATGCATGCAAAGTTTCAGTGGCTGGTATTTTGTCCCACAGGTTTCCTGATGGTCAGTTAAAACCTATAGCTTTTGTGTCAAGATCGTTAACAAAAAGCGAACTTAACTACCCAGTCATTGAAAAAGAAGCATTAGCAATAATATTTTCAGTTGTAAAGCTGAAACAATATTTAATTGGTAATTTTTTTACACTTATGACAGATCACAAGCCATTGTTGACTCTGTTTGGTGAGAACAAGGGACTTCCCTTGATGGCCGCAGCACGTATTCAACGTTGGGCACTCATTTTGAGTGGATTTAGCTACAAAATTGAATTTGTCAAAGGGGTCAACAATGATGCTGATGCTTTGTCTCGCATACCCCAACGCGCCCTTAGCATTGATACGCAGGAAGCAAATTATGTTAACTTGATTGAAAAAGACAATACTTTGCGGATAAATTTCAGAGATATTTCCATTGAAACTCGACGCGATCCCATTTTAAGCAAACTTCGCGAATCAGTTGAAAACAATTCTGTGGCAAAGCTAGATTCTAGTTTTGATGCGTTCAAGCAGAAAGCTATTGAGCTAACAGTTCAATACGGGTGTGTAATGTGGGGTTATAGAACCATTATTCCTTTAAAATTTCGTAAATATGTGTTAAATGAATTACACTCATCGCACATGGGTATCGTTAAGACAAAAGCTCTAGCTCGTTCATACGTTTGGTGGCCAAAAATTGATCAGGACATTGAAAATTTAATAAAAAATTGCTTACCGTGTCAGCAGTTACAATCTAGTCCACCCAAAGCTGAGTTGATTTCGTGGAAACCCACTGGGGAAATTTGGAATCGTATCCACATCGATTTTGCAGGTCCAAAAGTTAACTTTTACTACATGATCATCATTGATTCACACTCTAAATGGGTTGAAGTTTTCAAAACGAAAACAATTACTTCTGCATTTGTTGTAAACAAACTGCGCGAACTGTTTAGTCGTTACGGCATAGTCGAAACTATAGTAACGGACAATGGCACCCAGTTTACGTCGGCTGACTTTAGGGAATTCGTCAACAAAAATAACATTAAACATGTTTTAACAGCCCCAGGTCACCCTTCGACCAATGGCCAAGCAGAAAATTTCATAAAGTCATTTAAAAAGTCTCTTCATGCCAGTTTAAATGGTTTGAAACAATTTGATATTGACACTATTATAACTAGAATATTATTTGATTACCGTAATACTACTCACTGTACAACGGGTGAAACACCATCCAAATTATTTTTTGGGCGCTCTTTGCGAACTCGTTTTAGCAATTTAAAACCACCCACGGTACAGGAAGTCATTCATGAAAAACAAAAACAACAACAGAAGCATTACGTGGGAAATCGCAATGTAAATTTTCAACCAGGACAAAAAGTTATGATTAGAAATTATAAAAACCCGAATAACCCTTCATGGTCTCAAGCAACTATTAAGAGAAAGATTGGTTCCCGTAATTATATTTGTGTCTACACTCAAAATCAAAAAGAAATCAAACGGCACATTGATCAGATTCGTGATCAATCAATAAAATCAGAGTCACCAAACGATATTTCATACGGAATAGATAGTACTTCAAACGAAGAGAATGGCGAGATACAAAGTGACACATCCATTGAAGGTGCATGCCCCGATTCTCAACTATCACTACCAAACACTAATGATTTAAATAACAAAGAACCGGATTATGTACCTGTTGTTTCTGACCAATCTGAGTTGGATACTGGGGACGAAAATCCAACAGACCAAGATTGTGAAAGGGAAGGGATGAGAAAGCTTCGCCCTCGTAAAGATGGCAAGGCTATCAAACCATATACTTAATTAATATCATCTTTTTAATTATTAAATGAATAATATTAGTCATATACTTAATATCATCTTTTTAACTAATAAATGAATAATATTAGTCATTACATTTCAGCTTGAGTAAGAGCGTGTAGAGTATTGCACATTTACTATTAATGTCACAAACCTTTATTGTACAATATTATGTATCCATGTAATTCACCTCAATAATCTATTATCATTTTCTATTACTTTATACATACATACATTCATGTTATCATATACATACTGAATAAAGAAGAAACATTCTTTTCTCTACCTTTGCAACCAATACATCACATTACATAAAAAATTTACTGAGTATAGCCTTGTTTGTAGATGCAGTAAAAGAAAATACATGAAAAGGCACGATTTTTCTTTAATTAAAAAAAATTTAAATATTTCAAAAACGGTGACACTTTTACCTGAAAATTTTTTGCTTATCAGGGAGCTCACCACCCCACCTGCCTTCTCCTCAAGTTTGGCAGGTTACTTCTGGGACACCCTGTATATGCGTTTCAGATAATCTGATTATTTCCGTTTTCTCTTGCGGGTTAGAGGATGCCGAGAACTCTCGCCAGACTCAAAACTTAAGATAAGTGCCACAAGAGATTTTTTTGTGAGATTTAGTCGATTGGGTGTTTGAACCTCAGCCTGGTGTAATTAATCAAAACCACTTGAAGGATCGATCAGTTTCGGGCCCAAAAAATAAGCACTGTTAGTTAATAAAGAAATGCTTAATATGTTGTCCGTAGAAAACAATTTTTACATGGCGTCGATATCTACTGTCGTTTCTGAATATCCACAGGAGCAAGTAGGAGTAGGGGACCTCATGACTTGATACTAAAAGTTGGAGCAGTTGTGATGTTAATCCGCAACCTAAATGTATACATATGAAGGGTTAGTTAATGGTCCCGCCTAATAGCTAAAGAACTAAAATATAATTTTTTTGATGCCGCAATAAAAATATGTACATATAAAGGGTTAGTTAATGGACTTTAAACATGTGATTCACAAGGGAAATGAATTTTTCTGTTCATATAAATTAACAGCCCAGCGAATCAACACTTCCTTTTGCATTTAAACATCTTAAATTCAAATAAATTATAGCGTTGGCATTAACAATAAATAAGTGTCAATGTCAGACCTAGGAAGAGGATTGCTTTACGCATGGCCAGTTATGCATTCGTATTGAGTAGGGTATGATCTTGCAAAAATACCAAAGTTAAAGTTCAATACCAATGCATGTGGTTTTTGAATAAAGAAGTTTTGTGAATGCGAATTTTTTAGAACACAGAGCACCCCGATTTTCGGGGATTATTACTAGTAATATATAAATAGCCCAGCATATATCAATTGAGAACAATTTTCTCCTATGTTTCTTAACCGATTCGAATGGTTGTTGATTTGTTGGAAAGATGTTTAGAAGGAGGAGTGAACAAAGTTTTAAGTTTTCCCATAGGTACCGCAGAAGCCAACATGAAGCAATTATTGCTTCTGCATTGATGACGGTGACAGAACACAGCAGAAATTCTCCAATAACTTACATATATAAAAAATGTGAAATATCGAGGGCTTAAATTCATATAAATTAACAGCCCTCTATCTGCGATTTGCACAAAAACTAATATGTGATTTTACCCGGCGTAGCGTGACGTATTGTAGGGCGCCGCGAAGCTAAGCAAATTTAATGTCAATGAATTTTATTTCGCTTTTGAAAAGGTAATAATGTCAATTGACTTTATTTCACAACAGGGTGGGAAATAAAGTCAATTGACCTTATTTCCGTTGATCTTATTACCTGTCGCCATTGATGACAAGCAAAATGAGCAAGTGTGTAAAAAAGGGAAGTGGTCGAATTTCGACCACGAATAGTAATCGTAGCGGCTCGGTGAACGACAATCGGCAAGAGCAATGGTATGTAACTGGGGAGCAGCGGTAAGTGCATTAGCAACACGGATAAACAGGCATGTTCTGCAAAGCGTACGATTTGAAATCGGTAAGGAATGTAACAAATAGTTAAAATGGAAACTGCGAGAATTATGTCATTTACGTCATATCCATCGATTCAGTGCCAAAATTTGACTTTGTTAAGAAATCTCCAAAGTAGGTTTTGGAAATCGCACTGATTTTAAATCGTACGATTTGCAGCACATGCCCGAATTACTCTCAGCGGCGGCAGCCTCACGAAGGATGACTCTACACAGTGGTGGAGCAACGGTAGGGGCGCAGCAGATGACTCTCAGCAGCTTCGGATGGCTCTCAGTTAAGCTTGCCACACATTGGAAACGACGGGCAACGGACCACAGCTGTCAAATTATTTTAATACGTACTCTTATGTAGATAATAATTTTGGCGGCGACAGAGCTACACCACGACTGTGGTTCTGGCCAGATTAGATCTGTTTCTATTTTTTTAGCGACAGATACGGTTCTTCCTTTTCAAATTCATGATGTCGCTGCCGCGTTCAAAAAAGCGTTTAGATAATAAAGATAATAAATTGGGTGATCTGGCCCGTGGCCTGTCCTTTCCAAAGTGTTTCAAGCTTAATCGTAATGACTTGGTCAATGAATCTCATAAATTCACCTTGGGGTAATCGGTGAATATCGGCGGAAGCCTAGCTAGAGTTGTGGAAGCTAGTTTACATATGTGGGTACATATATGCATGAAGTGCACTCAAGTTCAGTATGACGATTTTCTCGCATTCAGTTCCCTTTTGTAGAATTCCTTACTTAACATCTTTTTGGAAAAGTCCTCCCCACCCAATTTTCCAGTTCTGCCTGTGAGCTGCAACCTCCATGTTCAGTTCGTTATATTTCCGGCTTCACCCATGAGACTTGCATTTATACGTTGCAAATTAAGTTTAGTTTCTTACTTTTTGTGATCTTTTGCAAACCAACAAAGGTATTGGGCAAATATCTGTTTGAAAATACTTTGGTTTCTCATTTTTTAAAGTTCTAACTGCCATATCTACTGACATAGATAATATACAAAAAACGCGTTAAATACCACTTTGCGGAGATTTTCTCAAGCTTTAAACCGAATAAAATAATCACTACAATCAAAGAAGATAAATTTAACAGGCAGTAGAAAAAGCGGCCCTAAATCTAAAAATACAGCCGACACAGAATCGCAATAGCAAATCGAGTTTTCCCCCCTTAGATCAAAAAGTTGTGTAAGGACTTACGATTACATATACATATTAGAATGCTAATGCTCTGCATTAGTTGATTCAAACTTCCAACCAAACAAAGTACAGTAGATTGGGATATTCTACTTCATATACAAAACATTCAGCGTTCTGAATTTTGTAATTTATGAAAATTCATTTCGTTTAAATTAAAAGAAATATGTACTATTGACAGCCAAAATCATGCTTCTCTTTAATCATTTTGGCCGGATTGCAAAATACTAGTTGGGGTTCTTACGGGACACTGTCTTACACCATCTCTTACACATGGAATAGTAGATGCAGAATACCATTAGCATATATAACTCAATTCTTTCCTAAGTCGACTTAATTGAAATCAATACCATTTTTACCCAATGGTTATATTTTTCATATGTTGATTACAATTAACAAAAATTTATGTATGTAAGTATGTATGTGAGAAGCTGAAAAATATCGAGCCCTAACCGCCAAAATAACGTAAGCGACATTTTTTTCAAAATTTTCTTTTTGATGCAGAAATATTTCTAGAGCATCTAGGTACATAAAAAAAATATTGTCATTCATATTCAAGCAATTTGATTTGCAGCGTTTAAACGTTGCTATGTTGATACTCATATCAACACACCTATTCATTTAAATTCAACACAATTCAAAGCCGATCACATTCATTCAATTAAAATATCAAAAATTCATTCGTCGTTTTGAATGGATTCATGCAGACGTCTAGTTTTTATGTAGGTGTTTACGTCTTTAGTTTATTCAATTATATTATAAATAATCTGAAACGATAAGTTTTATTTTCAACAGGAATTCATTTATCCTTTATTTTCGAAATTTCTCTGGACGTCGCGTATATATCGATATATATATGTATGTACATATTAATAGTCATTTAACCTACTCCTCTTCATATATGGCACAAGATCGTTGGAATACAAATTTAAACTGAGACGCATCCCATATATTTCACCAAGTTGTACATTTTTATATACTTATATAATTTGTACATAAAAAAATAACATATAAAAACATTAAAAAATATGCGCGAAAAAAAATTTGCGCAAAAAAATTAAAATACATTAACTAAATAAATAAAAATAAACTCAACTTCAACTTTAAAGTAACTTTGGGGTAAGAACCCAGGGGTCTATAAATATGTGTATGTATGTATGCGTTCATATGTATGTACATATGTATATTTGTGCATTTTATGATCTTTGTATAAGTATTGAGAATGGCACATGGTTGATTCAAATTGCTTAAGTACATAATAATCATTTTAAGTAATTGCATTATGTGACTAAATAATGGTAATTATTAAAATTTTTTTGCTTTTGATTTCTTTTAAATAATCTTTTGTACGAGTATTTTTTAATCGTCATCGCGCGAACTGAAGCTGGGTGTATTTCTTTCGGATGAAAAGCCAGAAGGCGACATACTATCCTGCGGATAATAGTAGCTGCCACAGTTTGATGCCACACCATTCGGAGTGGATACACCCTCGATAATCGTATTACAATTCTCCAATTGGCCTACGCCCATTTTTGCTGCCGTCGTAGCGTTGACAGCATGACCGATGTCTTGTAGGCGAAAAGCTGCTGCGACCGCCGACTGCACATTGCTACCCACAATGATGTCCGGTGAGCTGAGCAGCGATGCTGCCGCGCCGCTTGCGGGCGTATTGCCGCCCCCGCCAGTCATGCCGCCGGTAACAACATTGCCTCGACACCACAGCTGCCTCATTTCGGCGCGCCTGTTGCGCATTAGAATTTTATATTCCGATATGCGCATTTTCTTACCGTCAACGATGCAAGTGCGTTTAGGACGCGGGCGATAGCGGTAGTCCGGATGCTGTTCCATATGTAGCTTGGAGAGACGCGATTGTTCTTCGTAGTAGGGTTGTTTCTCGGCGTTCGACATGGCCTTCCAGCGGGCGCCCAATATTTTTGAAATATTCGAATTGTGCATATCCGGACAGGCTTTTAAGATCTTTCGGCGTTCATCCTTGGCCCAAACCATAAAAGCGTTCATGGGCCGCTTTATGTGCGGCTTGGCGTGTCCAACGGCGTGCATTCCGGGCAATTGAGAGATATTTGGTGCGATCGAAGGGTTCTTATTTTTATTGACTGCATCGTAATTAATCTCAATAGATTCCGAAATATCCTGCTGCTTGTGTTGCTGATGCCTTGACTGACGCAGCGGCTGGTCGTGCACTGACAATTGGTGCGAATGTAAGGTATGAGAACTCTGATGATGATGGTGGTGATGTTTATGGTTGGTCTGTTGGCGCTGTTTTAATGCGTCCACTTGGCTAGTTACTGGTGTTGTCTGTTCTGTACTTTTGCTGCCCTTGAGTATAGTGTCCGCGCTTCCGCGCGTTGTGTTTGCTATCCGCATATCTTCTACAGCTATATCATCTTCATGGTAACTTCCCTCGGGGCTACTGTTGCTAGTAATTTGCACGATAGGAGATATGCTCGACGATTGTTGGTACAAATGCTGTTGTTGGTGCTGAATATGATTATGCTGTAATGATCCCGGACTCGCGAGCGTTTCAGGTGCGTTGACGGCTGCACTCCACATCCGGCAGGCTAGCATATTGGCTTCAGTTTCTGAAAACACATCGTTGGTGGAATGCGCACATGCCTGTTCGTTACAGGGTGACACACATTTCCCTGGGGTGGCGTTAGCTGAGTGGCTGATACGCTTTTGCATTGGATTTTTGGCCGCGTACGGTAAAAACTGACAGGGCAGGCCAACTGCTGCTACAGCTGCGGCGGCTGCTGCTGCAGCTGCTACTCTCATGGAATTCTTTAAATGCATACTGGTTGAATTGTCGTCAGCCATGGCTGCGCCGTTGCCGCGCGGCATATTTTCAGTTGATACTGACCACGATATTGGGGAGGACGACATCACAGCCAAGGTCTCGCGTTGTTGTAGTCCGGGTGAGTCTGTTGTGAACGATGGTGGCGTTGGGCATGGCGAAAATTTGTGTTTAGACAAATTTAGAGGTGTGTCTGTTTCGAGAACATTTCCAGGTTCCTGTGCCACTTCGTCCTGCTCATCCTTCTTGTACGTTTGCATTTCATTTTGCGGTGAGTGCGACCGTTCATTCAAACTAATCGTATCGTCAACGTCCAAAGAGGACTCCTCGTATTTGTTGTTGTAGACAGAACTCAGTTGATCCATAGGCGATTCTGGCGGTGTTACACCGACATCACTCGCGTACGATATTGCTAGCAATGGAGTACCAGTTGGCATTTCACCTAAATTGCTATCACTATGGTTAGGCGACTGCGTGCAGCCTCTGGTGGCGCCGCTAGAGCTATTCATTTTACTGCTATATATATTAGTGTTACCAGTAGCTGCATTCCCCAGCGCGGCCTTTGTGGCCTCGCAGCTAATTGAGCAAAGGTTGCTATCTACGCTGTTGCCACTATTGCCGCTGGAAACAACAGCCGCGGCCGCTAGAGCGGCTTGGATGTGGGCGGCAGCAACGGCTGCCGTGGACCACATGGGTTGCATGTTTGATGATGGTCCTGCTGCTCCCACTTTTTTATTTTTCGCGTTAGTGTCGTGCAGGACGCGGGCATGCAACTCAGGTAGTGCTTGTTGTGTTGCGGGTACTAATGACGGGGTTGGCAGCTGAAGGAATGCTGGCAGAAATGGAACTAATGTGGTTGTCTGTAGTGATTGCACAGGATGCTGGTGTGTAGAAGAGTAATGGTTTTGATAGTCAGGTTTTTGCTGTTTATATTGTTGCGAGGCAGATGACCCGGCAGCCGCTGTATTAAATTTTGAACTTATCTCCTGGTGAAGGTCTTGGTAAAAATTATCTTGTGTTAAGCACTGTAACTGTTCCGGATACTGAGTAATATTTTCGGCGCCAGTTATGTTTTCCAGATGTGTCTGTAAATAAACATAAAGTTTTTATTTTAAATAAAATCAGCAAAAAAGTTTTCCTTTCGTACACATACAGTGGCATAATAAAACCAAAGGTAAGTAGCATTTTTATTCTCTTTCCCTGTGAAAGTCTATGTTAAAGAAATATACAGGCCTGGTCCAATCCACAAGAAAGGTGCGACAGACATAGGCGCCAACTACCGCCGAATCAGCCTTATGAACATTGAATTAAGGTCTCATAGGTTCTTATCACATCGGTTTGGCCATAGATCTGGGAAATTCACCATAGAGCATTTGCACAGCAAGCGCCAAATCTTGGAAAAGATTCACGGCCTATGTTATCTTAGTCAAAAAAGGCAGCTTTAAAATTATTTGGAGCGGTACCCACTTCGTTGGAAATACCATGTTCTTCATCGGCTTTGTATTTGTATTTGTAACAAAAAAATACTACTTTTTATGGGTCTAACATGCATAACATTATTGATGATTCCTAACACATCTCTTACCTAAATAATGAATCATTAAAATATTTCAAAAAATAAACTTTAATTTTGGGATATTATCTGCTAACGGCAGGCCGTTAGGTCAAAATCGGTTACGGTATTGTAGGGTATAGTTAGAGCCGTGGTATCTTTCTAAAAGGATTTTGGAGGAAGAAATGACGGCTGGCAAGGTTACATGAGATATAAGATTTAACATAGTAAAACGAAGCGAAAAGCCCTGCCGATCAACGAACATAGATCTTATATTTTTCGCGTATTCGCCCCAGTTGAGTATAAAAAATTCGTGAGTCAGCACTTACATAACAACTCATGAAAACATAAGAAAATTTTCTGAATTTTGACTTCTATGTGTAAATCCTTAAATCTTTATTTAAATTGCTCAATCTGGTTAAATTAGTTGGCAATGCGCAGGAGGACTTGTGGTTGTTTTGCACAGGCATACATTTTTGTTGTTTTTAATTTGAGTGATAAAACTAGTCAACAGTTATTTTGGTGCAGAGCAGCTGCAATTTCTTTCCAACCTGGGACCTTATACTGATTACATAACAGTTTTTGATTAAAGAAGCAAAGGTCGATCACACAAATGTTTAATGTCTTGAGAATTCGTTATCCAATCAAAACAAGTAATTTGTCAAATGAAAGGCAATTACATTTTCTACATCTATCTATCTTATATATGTATATACTTTAATAAAACTGTAGTTTGTTTGTTTATCTGTTTGAACTCACTAATCTCCGGAACTATTGAATGCATTTTCATGGAGCTTTAACTGGTGTCCAGACAGTGACATCGGACATAACATAGGGTATAAAAAAATGGGATCTGGCAAGGGAGCGTGGCACCTCCCATAGGCGTGAGATTTTTAGTCAGATATAACTTCGAAACCGTAAGTCACACGACTTTGAAATTTGGTGCGTTGACATACCTACATATCTGTGGTAGATGCTTATAGTAATGTAGATATACTTTTGTATAAGGGGCGCGGCACATCCTATCGGTGTGAAATTTTTAATCAGCCATAACTACGGAATCATTCGTCACATGAACTTGAAATTTGGTATGAAGAAAGATCTATGATAAATGGTTAAAGTAAAGTATCCACATCTATCTATCTATCTATCTTCTTCTATACTATAATAAAACTGTATTTTGTTTGTTTATCTGTTTGAACTCACTAACCTCCGGAACTAATGAATTGATTTTCATGGGGCTTTAACTGGTATATAGGCAGTGACCTCGGATATGACATAGGGTATACAAAAAGTTAGATCTGACAAGGGGCGTGGCACCTCTCGTAGGCGCTTATAGTAAGGTGCATATGAATAAGTTTGTACAAGAGCGTGGCACATCCCATAGGAGTGAAATTTTTAATCAGCAATAACTTCGGAACCGTAAGTCACGTGACTTTAAAATTTGGTGTGGAGACATCTCTGATAGATGCTTATCTATTATACTATCTATCTACTATATATATATTTTTCTTCTTCTATACTATAACTAAACTGCGTGCGAGTGACAAAAGCAGCCACAGTAGCATGCTGAAATGACTCTCTTATATATGCACGAAATTTGGAAGTTTTTATCCAGACGCCCCACAGTGTAATATTTAACCCATATAGCTGCTTTTAATTCTGTAATACGAAAACTATTGAAGATAGATTAATGAAATTTTGCACAAGGTACCTTATAAGATAGTTAGGCAAAGCTTTTTACAAAAAATTGGTAATTTAGAGGTACTGTCACGCCACCCTATTATAAAACTGTAATTTTTAAAAAGGCAAAAGCTGAAATATTTAACTAACTACAAAAGCTAAAATGCGCAAAATTGATATTTAGAATATCCTTATAACAGGGAAATATAAACTGACAGAAAAGGACTTAATTATAATGAAGAACGAAAAATGACACTGAAGATGGCACAACGCCGAAACCAGTTTGTCTCCAAACCAAATTTGACAAGGGATGACGGAAAATCGTTCCAAATTACATCAAACTCCTACCCTGTCGGAAATACCAACAACAAAAATGAGACTTAATTATATATTTTTTTTAATTATGGGCGTGGCAAATATCGTTATAAGTACAATATTTCTTGCTTTATTTACAAAAGTGGGGTACCATTGGAAAGGCAATGAATCAACATTTCTCTATTCAAAAGCGAAAATACAAAAATTTGTCTCGGTCGTGATCGAATGCAAATGAAATACTCGAAGAAAATAAAATTCCTAGTAGGCCTGAAAAAGTAAAATTTCATCAAAACCAGTACTTTCCAGCAGCTAAAGCTGCGTTGCTTAAAGTCTAAGAGGAGAGGAAAATAAACTGATATACAAACTTTATCGAATAATCGCGGATAACGAGTTTGCGGGTCTAAAGAATTTAATAAATTCTAAAAATTAATTTAAGTTAATATCGTTTTACTTTAACATGAAATACTCAGTCCTAGTTTACTAAAATCCCAAACATTTATATTCATTAAAAAGAAAAAAAATAAGACCAAAATGGTATTTTAGCAATTATTGCATAAATCACATAACACTAATACTAACTTAAACTCAGTTTCAAATATAAAAGTTTAAATATTATTGCGCTTGGTAATCTTCCAAATCAAATCCTGTCCCGCCCTACACTTTGCTTTAAATTGTGTAGTTCTTATTGTTTCGTCTTTATCAGGCTTTCCTATAAAAATTGTAAACGTTGTTTTGAAATTTGGCGATATAAAATAATTTAATTAATATTTTCTAAAATTTGGAAATAATACACTGTGCGTCGAATCGACATGTTTGAGGTATCATTGGAAAGGTCTTGCAGAGTGTCTAGAAAATTTAGTGTTATTCTAAAGCAACGCACAGACGGGTATTTGGCCCTAAAATTGGACAAAATCCAATTGTTTTGTTTTAGTTCTACACCCTTTTTTATTGTTCCTCGAAATACAACGGTATCTCCTCCTAACAATAGGTTTGTTCGTCGAAAATCCAGCAAGAATTATCCAACACTCAAAATATCAGAGAGTAAGAAAAAATTCTCTCAAATTCTCTCTCATATTGAGAAACTTGCAAATTTCTGCACGAACGCAAATTTGCAGGAATTTGCAAGTTTCGCTGCCAGCTGGCGTCCACGGTTGCATTTCAAATATAAAAAATTTTTATAGAATTTTTAAAATTCTTTCGGATGGCCAAAAACAGGATATACATGTATATTTCTTGTTGTTCTGACTTTCTTTAACATACATTTCAATATCTTCATCGTACTAGCTGTCGGGTTTCTTAAATCGACTCTGGTTGCAATTGCATTCCGATTGCGAATACCATTTTTTCAGCCGAATTAAGTTCAAATCATTGGAATTAACTAAATTAATTATATCAACAATTATTTACTTCCTTTTTTCATAAAAAAATCGCTCGTGTTTATAAATTTTTAAATTTAACGAACTAATTTATTCAAATTATTGTAGACAAAAATGCAACCATGCGCCACCACCACATGTTTTTCGTGTTTGCAAATTCTTGCTGGCAAAATTTTTTCCAGCAAGAATTTGCAACTTCTCCCCAAGAGAACTGTCACTTTGCTCTCACAATTTTTGAGTGTTGGATAATTTTTTGGTCTGCACGAACGCGATTTGGGCAAAAATCGTGATAATTCGTACAAATTCGTACAAATTTTTTGCTCGACGAACAAACCTAATAGCGCAAACCCGACGCGCCAGAGCATTTCCCCCGCTCCATGCGCTTAGTCGGAAGTTACCGTTCGCTTGCCGTGGTCGTGTGATTGTTCGATACGATCAAATTTCAGTGTTTTCAAATATTATATTTATGGTGAAAAAGTCGATTTCGTGTGAGTTTCTATATTTTATTTAGTTTTGTTATAAAATTAGAGATTTTTCGTACCTTTAGTTCCATTAGTAACTAACCCTTAAAAAATCCAATAAAATACCCATTTTCAAAAATTATTAAGCGTTTTAAATTATTTCTCAGCATTTCTCAGTAAGAATGTATATGGTTTGTTTTAGAATGGACTCTACAGTATTCTAAAATGCATGAAACAGCCACCCCAAACCCCCCCTCTATTTTTCCAATTTTTTTTTGGATGGACTCAAAAAACCACGTGTTATGTTTTTTAACGAAAATTGGTTTATTTTGTTTCCAGGCTCTTCTGGAATGAGAGTACTAACTAGAAACGATTTACTAACTATCACGGAACGCTCCAATGCGTCAAATTTCAACGAAAAGTTGGAATTTATGGAGTTGGAACTTCTCCATCAATACTCTGAAGATGACCCAAACATTGCCGATGCAAAACACAAGTTATCGATTATACGTCACCAATTCAAGCAGAAATGGTCAGCTGCCCGCAATACCAATGCCAGATTCCTAGAAACCAATAAATAATGGCTTAAGGGCACCATATTGCTACCAAAAGCAGGTACCTATTTACGTGAGACCTTAACCCTTCTTTTGTTTCGAGCTTGCATTCCATGGAATGTTATCAGTGACTAACGGTTTTTC